GATGGCCAGAAAGTGGTGTTGAGCAACCAGCTGCCTGGAAGGCAAGGCTGTGTGTGCCTCAAGGTACATGTGTGTGGGATATGGGGGAGGTGTTCCGAGGAACTGAGGAGTCAGTTACCTCGAAGGGGAGGGAGAAGACGTGATGGTCTTACCTGTGGTATGGGCAGCAGCGAGACATAGCATCGGAGCCACTGATGAAGAGGGCTGATGATGTTGAGGGGAGGACGTGGTAGTCCAGTCATGGAGTAATAGTTGGGAGTGAGAGGTGATAATGATTTTGTATGAGGAGGAGAAGGGTTGGGCCGGGGAAGCAAGTGGGAGAATATTTAAGAAGTCAGGGTTGTGCGGAAAGCCCTAGAAAGGTGTGACGAAGAAGAACTCGGCGAGGGGGCTGGTGTGAGATTTGCTATTCTCTTCCATGGGTTACTAAGATATGCCGTCCGGAGGCCAATGACGTTGACCCCCCTGGCCTAGTGACACTCGTCAATTTCCCGGGAGTCCACCCTTGCCAGTGCCTGCAGTCATATGAAAATAACCAGTTGCTATGAGAGAGTCTTTCCTTATGTTTGCTGTTATGTTACTTCTGTAGTTGCCTCTTTCTTTGTTCCCTCTAATGTTTGATATGGATGGGTGAAGCTATTCTTTGGGCGATCATGCGGCATTAACAACATTGGAGCCGACATTTTTAGCAGTATTGCAGGCTGTAAAGTCTGTAGAGAACTATTTGGTAGACTGCCGGTGGCAGGACTTCATGTCAAATCGCGTGTATCGATAATTTACAGGAGGCTATGGCCACCCCCACAGCTGCCAGATGAACAAGGTGCAATCTGCATCCCGTGTTACTGTAATCTGATGTTGCTTGCAATGAATAGATATTTCAGCTCATGACATGTGTTTGTTCCTTTGATGTATTACCCCATATATGTCTCAGATCGCGAAAACGCTTTACGAGGAACCTCGCCGGCACTTCACACTCGTCTATCTACAGCTGTCCAGGCTGCCAGCCGCACAAATCACACAACATCAAGGATAAGCTGACACCAGAGGCTATTTATATGAAGCTCTCAGCCCCCATTCGACATACCTCCTCTCCTTGGTGATGCCAGTGAGCGCTTCCAGCCCCTGACAGGATCAGGCGGCCAAGTCCGCCCGCCTGGCTCTCGCGTCCAGCGTCGATAAGGAACTCGAACCCTTCCAAAACTGCATTTATACTAACACCAAGATGACTTGAACATAATTCAGAACACCGGCACGACAGCATTCCCTCTACTCTTCTCCTTGAAGTCTACCTCGACGGAGCCCCTGAGTCATCCTAAGCTCAGCCCTACACGCAAACGCCCCAACATTCCCCAGCATCACGAACTAAACACTTTACCAGCGTTTGACAATATTTAAGAGCCTTATACTACCGACCTCACAATATAACACAGCGGATTCTCGACGAAACCAGCAAGATCCGTCCGCACCTACAAGTTGAAGAGGGAAACAGAACACCCGCCCTCACTCTTCACTAGACACACGACTCACAATACCGCATGCGATCACTCAATTGACAACTATCACTACGCTTATCTTCTCATTACTGTCCGAGTCTTCAAACCTCGTTGCTTCCTTGTGCTAACCCAAAAGTCGCCTTTAGGTCGAACCTACACGAGCCGAATCGTTCTCATCTCGCAATTGTTAAAGAAGGGAAGCCCGCCAGAGCCTTCAAGCTCCGACATGGATGTTCCGACTCGATAGTACTCGCCTGGTATCTTCGCTGGATGGATCAAGAGTCCATAAGCCCTAAATAGTTGAGCTTGGTTTGTCGGGATTCAAAGCTCGGGTCTGCATCCTGATTAGGCAAGGTTTCTGACATAAACCTCGCGGCCTGGAATAGGTACGTTAAAGAGGAAGAGTAATATGCGAATTGGTTCCCAGTTGGGTATCAGAAGAATTGTCCTCTAAGGCTTAGGGTACAGAAATAAAGTAGCCTAAACCACAGCCTAAGTCAGCATAAGGTGACCAAAATATTTCGTCTCTTATGCTCTTAGTGGCTAATTCTTCTGACACCATGACGGTTCCGCATATATATCAAACTCTCATTGGACTCTAATTTACTACCCATCGCCATGTAACATCATATACTTGTTTGGAAAATAGATAAAGAGATGACATCGAGTCGTTTCATTCGCTGAGAGTCAAGATGCTAGTTCGTCTAATATAACTGCAATTTGCGAATAAATGCCTGTATCCAACAACAAATTCAAATAGATATCTTGTTTTAACAAATATTGCAAGACATAGATCTCGGGCCGCTTAGTTCCTTTATAGAAGCTGTGACACAGCCAATACCAAGGGCATCATAGCCAAAGCAAGACCAGGTACCAATCCGGCCGCGCCATTTCCTGGGGCATCGGTACTAGTTACCTCGGAGGTGCCAGATGTCGCCGAAGAAGTCGCCTCAGAGGTAGGGGTCGCCGTGCTTTCGCTCATAGCGCTCTCATATCTCTCCACAACAAGATCAACAACGTCCTTGCCGTACTTCTCGAAATAGCTCCCATGAACTTCCGTGTCGTTACCCCGGTCGCAGTACACATCGCCTGTGTCACAGTAGGCGTGGAGGATGTCGCTGTAATTGTCCTCGCACAGCTTAGTGTCGTTACGCTGGAAAATCTGTAAACGGCGTTAGAGTTGAGGAACATGGCACAGGAATCTTTGAATTTTGTACTCACACCATCGTTAATGCTGTTTCCTGCGTCGTACGAGACGTTTGCCACGTGGCTTGGGTCACCAAAGGTAATCACGGCAACAACTAGAACAGTTAGTATCTGCAGTATGCTGTTGGATAGAATGCAGGAAGAGGGCTCACCGTTCTTCTTGACTTCGTCTACTGAAAGGGGTTTATTGGTGGGGAAATCACCACCACTTCCGCCGCAAAAGACATCAGTGGCGACTTGACCGCCCTATATCGTCGTTAGCAACGAACTCATCCTTGTTTGGAATCCGTAACCAACCTGAGAGTAGCCAAAGACGGCGACCTTGCTATCCGGACACTTGTCGAAGTAGTTCTTGATATCCTTCTGCAAATTCTCAACACCCTCAGATTCAGAATCCTCGTAAGCGGGCTCTTGAAGAGTCGCGGGATAGGTGAGCCCAGTGACATGCGAGCCGTTGATGCGTTCAGCAACGGCATCAGCAATTTTACCAATAACACCAGGTCCTTGATCCTCGCCGGTACCTCTCGCGGCAATCATATACAATCCATCGTAACAGGTCTTGTCGGACTTCTGGGCAACGGCTCCGACTGCAATTACGGCTGTGGAGAGGGTGAGGGGACGCATGGTGGGTGGTATGTGAGGGGAGAGTTGGAGAGTTTGACAAGAAAGAGTTGAGCCTTCGGACCAATAAATACCGGGGGTATTTATCTCATATCCCAGCCATGCTCGTTTCTTGAGTTAGTAAACCAGGGGTAAACGGTTCATCGGCCGTTTTCGATCTGGCAGCTTCCAATGATGGATTAGCCCACGTCGCGAGGATGGAGAATCCTTGTAACCCCGCAAGGTGTGATCCGAGGTTGCCTTGGCTTTGTAATCCGGTAAAGGCTTTTGCTTGTGAGAGGTTCTCGATCGCATTGGTCATTTGTTGGTACATATATGTTGGTCCAGCGTTTTGTTGATTGTTATTATCTCAGAATTGGACGTTAAGGTTGAAAAAGTCAGTACCAGATTCAGATTCAGTGGATCCTTGTCATTAATTGAGGTAAGACCGAAGAAGCAGCTTACCTCTTTCCTGTTTCGTGTTTCGTACAAAGGGCCTTACAAACCCAGGCACTTAATCGACAAATCTTTTTAGTTCACGGAAAAGATCGTCTCTTGGGATTAGCGGCGTTTTCGATCAATAGACTCGATACCTTTGGCGCCACTTACCTCGAACGCTAACTGTCGCGTTCCTTTTCACCTACCCTGAAGCTCAAACGCGACAACTTGGTGGTAAATCAATCTTCTAGAAAACACACATTGTGCAACCCGCACACCATCATGCCACAGGGAGGTTTGTGCAATGTTTCTTTGTAAAACATGATGGCGCTTCTAATTCGCACACGTCACCGCGTTGTGGGAGCGACTGAAATGTCCAAAACACCTGAAGAACCGGCTGCGTGCATGCAATTGCCACCCATTGAAAAGCCAATGTTCTGAAAGAACCAGATCAAAAGAATGTTTGAGATCATCAAGCAACTATATCGATACTAGATACAGCCAAACCAGGAAAGCCGCCCAGAGTGCCTTCCTCCGTTCCTGCATACTTTCGGTCAGAGTTCGGCATCTTCCGTAGACAGACGCAAGGTCATATCTCAGCTTGACCTTCCGAGTCTCGAATCTGAGTACTTTAAAAGACATCTCAGAGTTTCAATTCGCTTTTATGATGCTTCTTCTATCTTGGTATCCAGAAATGGCTTGAGAGTCGAGGCGGGAGACCGAGGGAGGATAGCTTTCAAGCAAGATATCTGGCAGGCACGAAACATTAGTCGAGTCTTTGTGGAACGAAAGGAACAATAATGGAGGTGAGGATATTGGAAAGCTGTTTGTGGCCCTGACTTTATAAGTCTTCTCTTCATTGTCGCTGTCGAGAGCCCGAACTTACACACCGGAGGCAAAGCAACCATATCGTCCTTGCAAAGACAGTACTTAGTCCTTAGAGACCTGCCGTTAGTCCGCCCAGCTCAGGAAGGAAGAGAGTGACCAAGTCTGTTAGACTGGACCAATGAACACTGAAACGTAAGCTGCGGTAAATGCTTGTCTAACGCGTCCTGCATGCTTCGAGCAGCTTTGGCTAAATGTTGGAACGCAGTTGGAGTAGGGGTTACTATACAGATGGCTTATTAGAGTGGCGGTGGCGATTAGGAGTCTAGCGGCTTGTACATACTAGAATTTTGATTCTGTTTACAGTCTGTAGTTTCTCGGAGTGACTGTCTTTTCTCAACATGAATCAAACAATGCAACAGGCTTTCGACCTCCGTGGAGGCTGAGGGCTTTAGACCTTTGTCGGAGTGATCTGAGAATTGCTGAGACATTAATCGGGGCCGATGTAGTTCTGTCTGCTAGGAAGGGCCGGGGCTTGCCTGGATCGTCGGTTCCTTGTCTGTTAGGGAAAGTCTCCGTGCTTTGACTGGCGTTTCTCGTCGTCGACCTGCTTGGGTCTGTTATTTCCAAGGTAGACTGCAGTCTATGATCAATAATAGGGAAAGAACGAATATACATGACTGAGCTTTTAGAAGCCCACGCATAGTGAGAGACAAAAGAAGCACTTTTGTGCTGTTTTATGAGTGGTGAAACTTGAAGGGGTGGGTCAGGCTGGTCGTGCTCTTCCGCTTAGTCTTAGCATATTCAGCTCCCGAGCAAGGGATGGGAATTTCTGCCTGTATCTGCCTGTCTCTGCTACCCTGCCACAATACTAACTGAGCTTATTTCATGTTTGTCTCGATTTGCGTGAATTGTTCAAGGACTGCTTTCACTTGCTTGTCGATTACGATTGTCGTGTTACCCAAGCCACAAGCTCGATCCGCAGGAGAAACAACCAAGGCCCACGGAAACTTTAAGCAGCGGCCTAGCCCAGCCTCAGACTGCATAATCATCTCACGGTTAGGGTCCGACTTGGAGAGTTTCCCTTTCACCCGTTAAGCCTACCACCGCCATCTAACAGCAACCACTGTTTTGAGTTTTCGTTCTTGAAGGAGCAGGTCCTCCAAAGTATCCCTACATCCAAAACAACACAATCACATCAGCAGTAACCACATTTCTTTCTATCCCGGGATAGACGAAGCAGTAATTCCCATCGAATACTTACGCCAGTCGAGGGCTCGTGAGAACCGCCTAGTACAAGCTATTCGCACTCCACAAAATCTAAGGGAGGTAGAGTGGCAGTCTCAGGGTAAGTAAATAACAATACACTTCACGTAAGAAGGTTCAAATGCTAATACAGGTTCACAGTGCCCTATATAGCACCTCACAATATCTAAGCTCCTGTCTCTAAGGAGACAGCTATACCCTACCCTCTATCGTATACCCCGAAACTACGCAATCGCACCACCGCATTACACATTGGGTACGAGTCGGGCATCTTCAGATGTGTCACC